TTAGTTGCTTGAACCTAACTGTATGTAGTTATTTTAAAGACAACCATGATGTTTTTCCATAACCTAACTAAGAAGTTTAGTTGCCTTAATCTAACTTTCGTTTTTTAACGTAACGTCCCTGGACACAAAATCAAAGGATCCATTTTGTGACTATTTCACAAACTGCCGTGAGACTGTAAGAAAAAACTGCTTTTGTTTTCAAAAACATAAAATGATCTTCAGTTTGAACCAAGTAGTGTTTGTGCCAGAGGCGTCAGATCAGCTGTTGTTACAGAGGTGTTTTACTGAACTGAATGTGAGGACTAGTTAACCTGCTGTGTCCATTTCACAGCGTTACTGTCAACAACACACAGTGAGCACTTTCAACAAAGTAAAGGAAGGTGACAGGTGACAAAAATACAACATATATTTGGGTTTAGTTCAAACTCTTTAGAGGACAATATCACATCCTCATGTGGAGTTTTAAAGCTGCTCTAATCAATGTTTTTATATTAAATGCTTTGAAAATGTATTTTGTCAACTAGCTTCTTACTAATAAAGGAATCCTTCATCAACACGAAGTCCAAACAGAACGTTTCACTGTTCAACTCTCAATAGCAGTGATAAGAAGAGAATCCATGTTTCAGATAAATATCTAACTGTGATTATTTTGACTGATACTGTAATTCTGATATGACATCAGAGTAAAGGATCATTTTTATATCATTATTTTCATTCTCATTGAAACACATATAAACATGGTTGTGGTGGGATTTCTGCATCAAACAGAGACGTTTTCTCTCGTTTGTAGAATATGATGTGAAGGAAATTATTTAGTTTAAAATGGTGTTTTGACACATTTCTCCTTTAACAAACATTGTGCATCCCACAGTCGGCTATATTTTCATTTAGCTAACTTCCTGGAGGGGAAATACTGTTTTTTTTGAGGGACTAAAAGTTGTTAAAATGACTGTATGTAAAGTGAAAAGTGTCGCTTTGAGCCTCTTTTAGCTCTTTGTTTTGTTTTTCGACCTACATTCTCCGTCCTCTGCCCAACAAAACACATTCCTCTCTGAAGAGAGTGAGTACTGGACTCAAAAATCAATTCATAAGCTGCTGCATGTATAAATACACTTCTCCCCAAGAAATGTGATCTTATGTAATCAGCATGATGGAGAAGTTTGTCGGAAAAGGTCGGAGCCACGCTGTTGTTTCTGGAGAACGATTGTTTCTGACGGAGAAGGTGACCAAAGAAGGGAAGGAGACGAGAGTAAAGGGCCCCAAAGCGTTTAAATGCAACCCTGTTGCAACTTCTGACTGATGAAATAAGACTTTCTCTGTTTTCTTAACAGAAAACAGAGAAGAAACCTCATAATATCCCTCGTATGTATATCTTAGAGCAATGTAGTGTTCACATTGTGTCTCTAAATTAATCTGAGGTCCACTAAAGCGGTGGTCAAGCTGGAAATCCTGCTGCGAATCCTCAGTGCGTCCGACTCAACTTGACATCACACAGACTGCAGATAAACCCAGAGAGCAGGAACGAGGGAAAAAAAATGGATTCTCTGAGTTACCACGGCAACCAGCCTGCATGTCACCACCCCATAATCAGAGCCGCGCGCTGCGACGCATGCACCGAGCCACAGGTTTGATAATCCATCACACCTCATCCATCGGAGTGACAACCGCCCCGCCGGGGGGCTGAGATCTGAAAGTGTTGCGATGAGCGAGGACTTTTATTTTGAAAGGGAGGAAAGGGGGCTGCAGTCGGAGGAGTATTGATCGATTGAAAGGGTAGCTGTCACCAAGACTTAAGGGTCACCGCCTGTTATTAACACACACACACACAGTAACACGCCACAACACCGGTGCGACCGATCAATCGATCACACTGATTGATCAATATCAATAATACCAGACAAGAATTATCGATCCAGTCCCAATCCATGACTCAATGCTGCTGAGCCTTTGATGTGTATTTATCAAGACTCATACACAACGTGTGTGTGTGCGTGTGTGCGTGTGTGTGTGTGTGCACGGTAGAAAGAGGAACTATGCAATAAAGAAGCAAATTGAGCATCATTGAAGACGATGTCTTCTAAAAGGACAGATGGGACAACACACACACCTACACAGGTTTGACTTTAAGTAGTTTGAGGCGGCTGCAGCCTCCAGTCCACTTTAATAATGCTGTGTGATCTCTGTAATGTGAATCTCACACACACACACACACAGAGCAGTAATAGTCCTGTGTGCCTCCAAGGCAACCAAAGACAACCGTCTTGTCCACTGCTATAGATCTTAGGTGTGTGTGTGTGTGTGTGTGTGTGAGAGAGAGAGAGAGAGAGAGAGAGGGAGAGAGAGGGAGAGAGAGGGAGGGAGGGAGGGTTGTTGTATCGCATGACGCAGAATCCTTCAGAACAGACCACCTGCAGACGCACTCACACAAACTATAAACATGAAGAATACTGAAGCGCTCTTGTTGAATTTTCATTTGTAAGACAGAAACAACAACGTCGGAGGAGTTTTCATTTTAAATACGGAAGATGGAAATAAGAAAAAAACTAATCTGCTGATACATTTTCCATCTTTCATCAATAATATTTGCTTTATACTTTATGTTGAAAGTTATTACTAATTATGAGTTATGCTAAAATGGATGTTAACAGTGTATTGTTGCGCATATAAGTATTTCTTAATGATGGCCAAATAATTTGTAAATCTTTTGTTTTAATTGTTTGTAAAACATCTATGAACATTACATTGATATTTTTAACACTTTGTTAATGGTTATTATTTGGTTTGTAAACCGACCGCGGTTTTGAAGCCTCGACTTTGTCATTTAGGTCGTCGCCATCTTGTTTTTTTGCAACCAGAAGTGACACAAAAGGACGGAGATACGTACGACTGAAACGCTGAATCATAAACATTTGTAAGCGACCAAAATGTTACAATTGACTTTCATGAAGTGAAAACACACTGTGAAAGGGTTAAAGGTCTGTTTGACTCTAAATGGACCATAATGTACTAAATGAACATCATGCTGTATTGAAGAAGACTTGAAACTAGAAACCATAAACTCATGTTTACAATGTTTACTGAGGTAATAAATCAAGAGAGAAGTAGAGTCATTTTCTCATAGACTTCTATACAACCAGAGGAGTCGCCCCCTGGTGGACACTACAGAGAATGCAGCTTTAAGACACTGACTTCACTTTTCAGTACCGGAGGTTTCTTCATCTTGTTGTCTTTACTCTCAATCACCATCACATCTGTGTGTTACAGCTTAGCTACACCGACTAACACACAGCTTTGAACCCGTTAACGTGACTCTAAACGACACTGAATACTTTAACTGATCGGCAACCTCTGGATCGAACCCCAAATCAAATCATCTTCATGGAAACACACAAGAAACCTGGAGTTTTAAAAGCCAGAACAGCTGGTGGAGTAATGCTATTGTTATCGATCAATAATCAAATACCAGCATGTGGTTTTGGTCATTTTGTTGCTGAGTGGTTTTAAGATCTGACTGACTGTTCCTTTAAGAAAAAGACCAAAACAATTTGGCGTGGCTACTCATCACACATAGTGACACACACACACACACACACACACATATATATATATATATATATATATATATATATATGGCATCATTCAGGTTCCCCTACTCACCTTCTAAAGGGATTTTGAGCTTTAAAAATAAAAAAAACCTGTCCTTGTTTTTCTTTGTTATTTTTGGAAATTTCCACATGGATGAATGTATGACTGTGTTATTTTTCTAGAACCGGACGGCTATAGCGCACGTTGTTGACTCTTTAATAAAGGCATCCTTAGAAAACTGGGCTGTGCTGCGACTCTTTATTTGACTGGCGTCCCTTCATCTTTAGTTTTGAAACAGGTTTCCAAACAGGAACTACCATTTTCTTCCAGTTTCTGCCTTCATTGCATTGGTAGAAAGGTATAATTATATATCTTTAGTTCTACAGCAGTATATATTTAAACATATTTACTGCTGCAAACAACAGCGAGAGGGTGATGAAGTGGAGTCGTGGTGAGTTCAGGTGTTTACATCCATCCTGTTCTTTAAAGTGATGCAAACACTGTGAATATAATTAATATAAAGTCATATTTTAACGCTAGAGAGGAGAAATCAAGGATCAAGGACAATCAAAGATGGAACCGTTCCCACCATCATTTAAAAGAACACCCTCCGAACACCCAAACACCTGCTACATGCCTACAAAGAGAAGCTTTAAATTTAAATGTGCCGTTGTCAGTCGCTTCGTCTGCTCCGGCTCTGCAGCTCGGGTTTATTTTTAGACACGTTTTTCTGAGACTCACTCTGAGGCTGTCTCCTCTGATGGAGCGGGTTGTGAGGAAGAACCTGCTCACTAGGAGACTGTGAGGACGTGGTTTCTCACAGTCTAGATCCAGGTAAACCAGGTCAAGTAGTAGTGGATTTTACTTATGTAAGCAGAGTTTAATTTATTCATATCGTATGTATTTATTAATGTTATACTATATGGGCAAAATTACGTTGGACATCCACATCTGGGGCTGTGTTTTATCTTACTCTCCTTCCAATTGACTCTTCGCTAAGTCCCGCCTCTCGAACGCAGACTGGCCAATCACAGCAGGGTTCAGATTTGGAGCTCGTCAAGTTTAAACGCTGTGTGATCGAGATACTCGTTACCCAAATTACCCAAACTCGTTATTTCATTGTCTTCTGTCTCGATATCCTGATGATGTGGTGGTTTATTTTTACACTGTGAGCTGTAGCTTTTAGCTTCTATCTTTATCGTGGAATCTTCTGTCTGCTTCTCTCTGAAATCACCTTTTTCCCAAAAATTAGATAATAATTCTTCAGGGAGTGCAGTTAGTGACAGTGTGGGCTCCGTGGTAACGTAGCGGGGGGGGGGGGGGGGGGGGGGGGGGG